GCGCCAAGCCGGTAGGTAGGGGCGGGGGGAGGGGGCTACGGCTCGGGGGAGAGCGGGGCCGGCACTGGGGTGACCGGAGCCCCGGGGCTGGGACGAGTCACGCAACAGAGCGACGCTACCTACCTGCCGGGCCGTGTTTACCCAGCTAGGGCTCAGCCTCTCCCACAGTGCACCGCGCGATGGCTCTGGCCTTTTAAAGGCATACGGCCCCTGCGAAGGGATGGAGCCTCAGCCTCCTCCCGCAGCACTCGGGGCAGGCCGACGTCTCCGCAGATCTGCCAGCGGCGAGACCCGCCGGGGTGACGCAACTGTGCATGCGCATGCGCAACTTCCGGTTCACAGCACGCACAACGCTTCCGTGTTGGCGACGACGCGCCCACGCCCGGCGGAGTGGCCTGGCAGCCAATCGGGCGCCCGAGCGAAGCAGCCAATGGGAGGCTCAGTTGATGTTTAAAAACGTTCCCGCTGGCTGTCTTTTGTAGAGGTGGGTGAGTGTGTGGGGTAGGTTGTGGGGGGTGTTTTTGGGTGGGTGGTTACCGCTGCTGAGCTGTCCGGTGGGGTGGGTGGAGTATGCTCCCGGTGCTCCCGCCTAGCTCAGGCCCAGGCCCGAGCCCGGGCCCGGGCCAATGCGCTGCCCCAGTGCAGGGCACGCCGCCCGGTCGTGCTTCGGGCTCCGCTGGCTGGGAGCGGCAGCGCCTGTCCCGCGGTGACACTCGAGAGAGCTGCAGTCCCGGCGTGGGGGGAAGGGGGTAGCTCGGCTGTCAGGCAGAAGCCCCCAAGGCGGGTGGCAGCCTGCACTGCCCTAGCGCGAGGCTGGAAGCTTTGTCAACATTTCCACAGCCAAGACCCCCAGCACTAGTGTTCTGCCAGGCAAGCGGTTCACTGCTGACTAAATTGGGCTGCTAAGGTTTAGAGGTGCACAGATAGAGGTTTATGGGGCTGAAACTTTAGGCATAGCAGTTGATACCAGCCCGATTTCTGATACAGCTGCCTCCAGGTGGTAAGTCCAGTTGTGAGGGGAGGCAAAGGGCAGATCCTTGCCCCCTGGTGAGGGAGGTGCAGGATGGAGCCACAGCTTGTGGGGGGGGGGTGGCTCCTGCTGCTGCTTGTGCTTCTGGTGAGGGGTGTGCCCCTGGACCTGCATGGCATGGGGCAGGTGGCAGATGTGGGATGGAGCTTGCACTGCTTAGGACTCTTCTCAACAGGGTCTTGGGCTCTGAGCAGGCTCTGCCAGTGCTGGGAAGAGGCTGCAGTCACCCCAAACTTTGCTGTAGCTCTGCTCCCAGCCCTGTGCCACCACATGGCATAGCCTCAGCTGAATGCCTTGCTTCCACCCAAGTGCTGGGAAAAGCCATGGTCGGGCTGGGTGGCATTCTGGGACTGGGAGCAGAGCAATGGCAGGAGCTGCCCCCACCTCCATGAGCCATGCCTCTGTCCCATGTCCCTGTCCCTACCCTGGCTGGGCCACACCTGCCACCTCCCTCACTGCAGGGGGTGCTGACCTGTTGCCCTCCCCCTTCCTTCCTTCCTTCCCTTTCTGACTTAGCAGCTGGAGGCAGCTCTCCACACTACCAGCTCTGCTCTGTGCTGTGGCTGCACGCAGCACAGGCATTTATCGGCCCCATAAGGCTGATATCTAATAGACAATTTTCTTCATGTTGGTAGCAATCCAATATTGGACCTACGTATCGATGCATCTCTACTAAAACTGAGTCAATTGCTTGTGACTTCCTAACTGAAAGCAGCAGCTGCTCTAGCAGTTCAGTGCATGTAACTAAGCAGCCTTGCTCAGTGGCTGTCAACTGGGGTTATGCATACCCCTAGCGGTACTTAAAAATACCCTAGAGGGTATGCAGACCTAATGTGACTGAAATGCCATCTGCAGCACAGCACATAAGTGGCCAGGAGAACAGCCAGGTCTGGCTGGTAAAGGTATTGTGAAGGAATGGGCTGGGAGAGGGGGCAAATTGAGGCCCCAGTGATAGGGGGTGGGGGAGGAGCTGGGGCAGGATGCTGGACTGAGCTGCATGGGAGCAGCTCCCATTGTTGCATGTATCCCAAGAGTGCTGGGAGTGGGGCATGTGCCCCATGATCTGTGTAGGTAGGGTGAGATGCTGCTGCGGGCTGGGGTCAGGGTTGTGCTGGGCTCTTGGCAGGGGCTGGGCTAGGCTGTGCTCTGAGCAGGTGGCAGTAGTGCTGGGAGGGGCTGCAGCCACCCCAAAACTTGCCATAGCCCCCTTGTACTACTGCTGCCACCACCCACCCCCAGCACAGCCTGGCTCAGACCCTGCTGGGAACAGCCTGGTACCAGTCCCACCCCATGTGCAGATTTGGGGGCACATGCCCTCCCAGGGGTGTGCATAACAGTGGTAGCTGGGGTGAAGCATGGGACGGAGCTGCATCTTCCCTGGGGGGAGGGGTTGGCAGCTCCCATTGCTGCGCGCACCCTGGGAGGGTATGGGGGTGTGTGCCCCCGGAGCGGTGTGGTGTGGGACAGGATGCTACTACTGAGCTGTTCCTGGCAGGGCCTAGGCCGGGCTATGCTCAGGCCAGGTGCCATCAAGTTGCAATGTATAAACCACTTCGAGTAGTACTTTTAAACAATATGGCGATAAGAAGACCTGAGTCAACTTTTCAGAAAGATTGTATAATCGTATAGATGCAACTTCTTTTTTTTTTGTCATGAGAGTATCTTTCAATGTACTTCTGCATTAGTTCTTTCATCAAGAAGTGCAGCAATTGAGACCTGCATGAACTGGGAGGAGGTATTATTATATTCTCATGTGACTCTCTTATTTTTAAGTCATTTCCATGAACTGAACATGGCAACCCGTATATTCATAGACCAGGAGAATGGAGAAGTTGGTGCTACTTCTAAGGATCGACTAAGATTGCCTTCAACATGTGAGTGTGCACTTTTGGCTCTAAAAATTGAACTCTTGAGTAAGTCAACAAAACATTTAAAATAAACCAGGAATGTGCCTGGTTTGCTATTTCTGGCAAGGGAGGTGTGGGAAGCCTGAGTAATATAAGCAAACATGTAGACTCTTGTTGGAACCTATTTTCACTGTTCTTCTGCGACCCTTTTCTCCTTCAAAGGCTTCCAGGGGACTTTATCTTTTTACAGGCAGTCTTACGCTATTTGTGGGAGTGGAGTGACAAGGAAATAGTTCTCCAAGGTTAAAACTCTATCCCTATATAAAAATCTCTTTTTGACTGTAATTAGTTCCTCCTTCTTAAGCAGAAAGTACTGAAATGGCTCATGGTGGTATTTGCAAAGCATGTAAAGAATCTTAAAACTTCTCCCTGCAGCAGGAAAAGTTCTGTCTGAAAGATCACAGGTGCAGACTCCCCTTGTTAAAAAGACAATTAATGCAACTCCAGTCGCATCTAAGTCTCTCAGAAAAGCTCTAGGAGATGTGAACAGGACTCTGCAATCCACAAAAAAGAAGGAAACTTTAAAAAAGCAAAAGCAGCTTGTGACTAAGGTATGTACATGAGTCCTTAGGAAGCAGATCCTTAAGCATGCTTAAGTCTCTGGTCCTAGGAATTAGGGCAAGGGAGAATCATGTTTAGCTGCTGCTGCCACCCCCACCTTCCCCCCCCCAGTGTAGATGCAGGGGATGGCATCTTTGCTGGCAGCCAGGTTGGGAAGAGTGACTCAAGTAGTCTGAGGTCATGATCCATGTGATCTTCCTGACCTATGTAAAATGAGGTTGTGGTTTTTTGGGGGTTTCTTGTTTGTGTGTGTTTTTTGTTTTTTGTCCCGTGAACCCACATATGTTGCTGAGATCATATTACTGAATGTAATCTTACAGCAAACTAGCAACCAAATTGAACCACTGCCCTTGCCTTTTGATATATATTGGAGTCCCACAGCTGTGTGCATGACCACAAGCCCCTTATCCAGTTTGCCCTTTAAAGTCATTACTTAAGAACCTAGCATTCCTTCAACTAATATATATTTTATTTTTATTTACAGAGTACTACTGAAAAGACCACTGAAGTGGGAAGTTGCAATGCAGTCCCTGAAGAAACCTACCCAGATATTGAAAACTTGTTTACCTACAACCCTCTAGGTAGGAACTCAGTAACACTAAGCTATCTGTCCCTAATCTTGTTCTGAGCTCTTAAATTGCCTAAAGTATACGCCTTGACTTTGAGGCTAACCTTGTTTTACTTTAAAATCCAATGCCTTCAAATGATGTCCAGTCTCTCTAAGGGCAGTGACCTGGATACCCTATGACCAGGTAGATGATGGACACTGCAGCTTTCACTTAAATATGTTTTATTTTTTCACATAACCCACACCTCTCTATCACCCTGCCCCCCCC